TCGGTTTTAAAAAAATTAAAAAAAAAAGGACTGCTATGATAAGTTAACTTGTTCCTGACCAATCTAAGATTTAAATTAGTTCGGTTTTTAAAATAAAAAAAAATTAGTTAACCCAATCAAAAACCTAGATTGAATTGCTAACTTCAAGCTTAAACTAATCAAAGCTTGACATTGTCGAGATTATTTAAAAAAATTGATTTGTTATTTTTTTATTTTTTTCAAAACAAAAATTTAATCAACATATATTAGAAGTCAAATGTCTCAATCTATATCCTAAACTTTGTTTCAAGTTGAGTTTTACAATACTAAAAATTATAATTATTAAACTCAACTAAAGAGTTGATATGATATAATTATTAAGTTATGGGTTAAGAAGATTAACATAAATCAACTCTACAAATTAAAAAATACCAAAGGATTGCCAAGTAGCAACATGGAAAACTTTCTTCAATATACTTGATATAATAATGTTTATTGCATTAGTTTTTTAATGGTTAAGATTTTTAAATTTAAAAAAATTCAAAACACAATTTAATAAAATCAAGCACAACATTTAGTTAAAAAAATTCAAAACACAATTTAATAAAGCACAACATTTAATATTTAGTATTTGGATGAAGTTAAAATTTTAAAAAAAAATTATGAAAGCCTTGATTTTTATTGGATTAAATTTCTATATATATCAGAAAATAAAAAAGCTTTCAAATTAAGCTAAGAAATTAATATGTATAATTTTTTTTCTACCTTATTGTATTTATATTTTTTATTAAAATTTTTAATTTAATTGGTATCTTACTAATTAGAAAATCTAATTTTAAATGACATCTATTAGTTAATTATTTTTAATCAAAAAATATTTTTTATGAAACAATTTAAAACAAATAGAAGTATTAGTTTATTTTTAAATTAAAATTATTATTTGAACTTTTAATAAAACATTTTTATCTAAAGCAATACTAAGCCCACAATTTATTCTGATTTCTTTGGCATCCAGAGCAATTCTGTTGAACACCTTATCTTCAATCGAAAATCCTTTCCAAACAATTCAAGTGGTTTAAATTCACTATGTGCAATGAATCCTTTGATTCCATTGGATATTTTTCAAAAGTTTCCTTCTGTTTTTCTTTTAACACGTCGATCTATTGAGGAGGCAAACATCTTTTTTAACCCATTATCTAGTAGTTATCTTTTAATCAACAGCAGTTGTTCTCTGTCCTCCGAGTTCTAGGACAATTGCTGCGAGATGCTTCTTTGTACTGGTAATTACATCTTAATCTTGTGTTGTTTTTAGGCCGAGGGAGAAAGAAACCGAAAAAGAAGCAAATGGGGAGCTAAAGGGAAGAAAGGATTTGGTGCTCGACGTGGTGGCGGCTGGTTCTGGGAATTAGAGATTTTTATTTGTAATCGAAAAAGATGTCCTTTAAAAAAAATAACCAGGTTTTACTCAGGTTTTTTTATTTGCTCGAGTTTAATTGAGAAAACTTCTTAAGAGTTTTTTTAGTTAATTTGAATTGGTTTGGATTTTGGGTTGATATTGGTTCGTAGTTGACATGTAAACATCGTTAAAAACAAATATAAATACAAATTAAACATGCTTGGTATATGTTCATGAAAATTCAAACAAGTGTCTTTATGTAATAACGGCAACAAAAATATATTGATTATACTATTATAATTTCTTTATATAAAGTTTTTTTATTCGGTGGTAACATGAGGTTAAACTATGTTTGAAGGTAAGTATTGTAGGTGGATCTGGTATAAAGAAAGGGATAATAGGGTTATATTCAGAGGTAATTTTTGTTTTATATATATATTAAATGTGTAGATGTTAACTTTTCTCAAATAACAACGTAGAATATCGACATTGTAACGAGTAAAATTTAATGTGATAGGTGATGTTCAAAACTATATCTAAAAAAAACAATATGTATAACCAATATAAAATTTTATCAGAATAAGTTTATCATATAAAAAATCTAATTTAAAATTTTGTTAATGAGTATTTCTTCTTCAAGTAATTTTTTTATAAACAAGTTAAATAAATTTATTTATATTAGTTTTATATCTATCTTAAAAAGGAAAAAATATAATAAATAATGATAAAGTTATACTATGTATTTGTAAATTAAATAAATAAAAATTAAAAGTAACAAGCATAATATTTGATTTTATAAAATAAATAATAATTAAAAAATTAAAAAAACACATCTTTTTCTCTAAAAATCCTCTTACCTCCTTGAGTCAAAGAGATCCATCTAGGATGGCCTCCTTGAGAAATTAAAACTCAACCAAATACCGAATACCGAGACAACTAAATAAAATTATCAAATTGATTAAAAAAATTATTGCTTAATTAATAATTCATGAAATTAAAAAAATAAGTAAGAAAAAATCATTTGTGATGAGTAAAAATTAAAAAAGAAAGAAAAAAAAAAGACCCGAGTCTGCGGGCCTAGAGCAACCTATGTCATTCACCCCTTAATTTTTTTTAAAAAAATAACAGGCAACACGTCGTTTGCCTTATCCAGGTCCCGACTACCTCTGATCACTAGAAAATCAAGGTGTGATATTTCAGATAAAAAAAAAACTTATTTATAATCATGTTTAACCTAAAAAATCTAAAAATAAAACACCTTAAACAAGTTGTAAAATATATTTATGGTCTTAAACAATAACAACAACAACAATATTAAAAAAATAAGTAAGAAAAAATCATTTATGATGAGTAAAAATTTAAAAAAAAAAGAAGACCCGAGTCTGCGGGTCTGGAGCAACCTACGTTATTCACCCCTTAATTGTTTTTAAAAAAATAACAGGCAACACGTCGCTTGCCTTATCCAGGTCTCGACTACCTCTGATCACTAGAAAATCAAGGTGTGATATTTTAGATAAAATAAAAAAAAATTATTTATAATCATATTTAACCTAAAAAATCTAAAAACAAAACACCTTAAACACTTTGTAAAATACATTCCTGGTCTTAAACAATAATAACAATAATAACAAAAAATACTTGAAAACCCATAATCACCCCATAATCAAAATTATTTGCGATCTCATGTTTACTATATATAAGGCAAGTATAAGGAGAAAAAACACTTAATATAAACTTTTATTATAAAAAATTATTATAAAAAAGAACATCAAAATAACTATTTTATAGCCTTAATCAGTGTAAAAGACAACCTTTTCTTTTTATTCAAGGAATATAACCACTTTTCCTCTCCTCTCTCAAACACCACTTTTCCTCTCCTCTCTCAAACAGATGCAGAAAAAAATTGAATTAAAATTGACATTATTTTTAATTTTTGAAGATTAAAGGGACCACATATTTGTTATTGATAAAATTTGGGGATTAAAATGAATTTTTCGCATAAATTTTGTTAAATCCACTTGTTCTCTACGTGTTTTTTACGTGGGTCCCCTTTCTATTAATCTAATTCTTTCTTGACAAATTAACTCAAATTGGTCTCTAATCTAACAATTTAAAAATGAAATTAAAAAAAAAATAGAACGAAAAAAAAAATCCATGTTGAATTGTGAGAGAGACTACCATGCACGAGGAAATAGTAATTCTCCCACCCTTTTTAGTTTATAGTGTAATGTAATCAATGTATAATAGAATTGAACAATGTCTAATGAGACAACTAAAATCATCCTTTTTTGTTTTTTTCCATTCTATATTCAATAAGATTGGATCTTGCGTGTATTTCACTTGTCCCCAACTCACTAGACATCATCAAAATACATTCCTTTTTTTTTCTATTTCTTAATTTTTCTTAATTTTTTTCATCTTATAATGCATTTACAATTCAGCAGGGTTTGTTGATATTAATGCTCCTGCTTTCCTCCCTTTTCTTAATTAAATTTTATCATCTTTTTCTTTGAAGTCTCCATGAACTCAAATCTAAAAATAAAAATAAAAATAAATTCCAAGAAAGAAATTTATTGTCGACAAATATGTTTCCAGAGTACTATAAAAGATAAATTTAAATTAAAACCTCTCATATTCATTTCGTATTATGTTCATTAAATCTAAAATATTAAATTTAAATTGAATGTGCATAATTTAATATACATAATAAAAATGAAAATAACTTAACTACTTATTTAATTTTTTTCTCCCATCCAATCTCGATTTCTGAATTTAAAATTAATGATGAAATTTAGAGCAAGAAGTTATTGAAATGTTATTATATGGCTTGTGTTGTCAACTGACTTAGATTTAAAAAAATAATAATTAAAGGTTGCTTTATCTTAACCTGGCAAGATTATAAATAATTTTGTTGGATTTATATATTTTTTATAAAACAATATTATTTTAATTTTTTTTAAAAAAATTGATTGATCCAAGTATTAATCTAACTGTTTCAAACTTGAAATGCTTTAAATGACTTTTAGAGGGTATTAGAAAATACAATGCTTTAAATGACTTTTAGAGGGTATTAAAAAATACAATAATGATTATTTTTTAAAATATTTTTTATTCTAAAATATATTAAAATAATATTTTTTATTTTTAAAAAATTATTTTTGATATCAATATATTAAAATAATATATTAAAATGACTTGAAAATATAAAAAATTTATTAATTTAAAAAAAATAAAAAAATTTAATTTTTTTTAAAACTTCCAAAATACAATTTAAAATACTGAGCCCGAGTTATAAAATTCCAAAATACAACTCATGAAATTTATTAATTTAGTCCTCAAGTAAGAGTTGATGATAACTACACTTGACTTCACTTGATAAGTCAGCCCTAATTTCCAAAATCCAACTTCAGCTCTACTTTACCACCCCAAGTGGCTCAACATCCCACCATCAAGCACGCAAAGCAGGGACCACTTTCACTGATCTTGATCACTCTTACCAGAATTTGCCATGTGTCATACACCATTCAGCCTCCTGTCAACAACCCATGATCTGCCACGTGTCTAAATCTGATCATAGAATTACAAGACCGCCCTTTATCCCTTGTCACCTATCTCATGTTAGCAGTTATTTTATCCCTCTCTTCTTAGTTTTTTCTCACTTTCTCTAGATGCGAACACCCCATTATAAGCTCTGAATTTTCAGTTCTCTCTCTCTCTCTTTCTCTGTGTTCTCTTCACTTGTAGAGGGAAAAGTGGAAACCTCTTCAATCTCTCAGTAAACAAGGTTTGATTTTTGTAACTTTGAAGTTTGGATTTTTTTTTTCAATTTTTCTTGGTGGACTTATTGATTTTAGTATGATTTTATTGAAGTGATCATTTTTAGTGAGTTTTGTGTTTTTCATCATGATGGGTTTTTGGATCTAGTGTTTTTATGTCTGTTTAACTGGTTTTTTATTGCATGTTTTATAGTTTGGTGATGTGGGTTTGTTTGTTTGGTTAAGATTTGATTTGAATTATGATGCTTGTAAAAGCTGTGGCCTTGGATCTGAAAAAGGATTGAACTTCGAATTATGATGTTATTTTCTGTCACTGGAAAACTGGGAATTGGTTAGAATTCTGAGATGTGTTCGGTTTCTTTGATTTGTTACCTGAATGATTAATTGGGTGTCTAAAAGTTGAAGTCTTTTGGGATCTGAAATCTGAACTAGGAAAGAGTGATTTTTAATTGACTTTATATAGGAGAGTATAACGACTTCAGATTTTGTTGACTGGTGATGAGGATGATTTATTAAGGCGGTGAGGATCAGGTTTACTTTCCTTTTCTTTTAGATGTTTGATGATTGATAGCAGGTTGCTGAGTTTTCAAATCTAACCGCTTTAGACAAGGCTACGTTAACTATGATTCTCATATTCTTATCAGTATGATATGTGTGCCAGCACCCATGCCCAGAACACAACTTTATTAGTGTGAAGGGTCTTTTTTATTGGTTAGGGTCCTCTAATTCGCAATTAAATTGTTGTGAATTATTGAAGTAGTTAAGAGGTAGGTGTCTTGAAACTCTTTTTTGTTTTTCTGTTGCTGAAACAAAGATCTAATGGAGGCTTAGAATATATTTGGTAGCTTTGTGCAGGATGGCTTTCTTTTGTGTGTATAGCTTGCTTAAGTTACCTTGGATGGTTTCTTGTTTGGTTTCATTTATTGACTTGTTGAGTTTTTCGACTACAGTAGGGGAAGGCCATGTGAGCTGTTTGAAGTACTGGAGTGAGATTGTTGCTTTGCAGTTTTGATTAGCTTTGTGGTTTTATTGGTGTGCGCACAGAATGGGCAAGGGTTGTGGAAAATTAGGGAGAATGGTGCCAAGGGATGAGTCTGCGGATGCTTATCATTTCTCTCTCTTATTGTCTCCTGTTGTTTCTGTTTGGGATTGTATTGTCCGGAAGATGAGGTACTCCTTCAGACCTGAGTGGGTGTAGTTCTTGAACTTTTGAGATTACGTTAGTTTTATATGCTGAAATTTGGTGGAGTATTTTTTAGTAGTAAACAAAGAGTGAAAAAAGAACAGATAAAGAACGAAAGAAAGTTATAGGGAAAATGTACACATTTTAGAAGAGTTCTTTGTAAGCTAATAAGTTGAAAAGAGGACAATATTTGTAGTTCAGTAGTTATCATGGATAGCATAGCATGTAATAAAGTGCAACCTGTTGCGAGGAAAGTGAAGAAGAAGCAGGTGAAAGGTGAGATGGATCGTCTCAGGCAAGCTGAGAAGAAAAAGAGGCGTTTGGAGAAAGCTCTAGCTACTTCAGCAGCAATCCGATCTGAGCTAGAGAAAAAAAAACAAAAAAAGAAGGAAGAACAGCAAAGACTTGATGAAGAGGGTGCTGCAATTGCAGAGGCTGTTGCTCTGCATGTCTTACTTGGCGAGGACTCTGATGATTCATGTAATATTGTGCTAAACAAAGAAGAAGGTTTCAACACTTGGGGTTGTGCTGGTAATATTGATGTTTTCATGGGTGAAAAGAGACCATCGCTTCCTCAAGAGGACTGCTCGGGGAATTCATTTGAAAGAATAGGGTGGCTCTCTAGTACTTACGGAACTGGATGCAAGTGGGGGGATAGGGAAAATAATGACTGGTCCTTTTCATACGAGTCTCTTCAGAAGAGTTTGCCAGTGCAATACTTTGACGATGGCAGTTGGGGCACTACTGAGTTCTCAGATGAACTTATTGCAGCACAAGCTGCTTCATCGCTCCAGATTGCAGAGGATGCAGATGGCGACACATTCCTCTTCAACGGAATGCTAAGAGGGTAGACTAGCAATTCTCTGCAGCCTTTCAAAACTGAGTTCTGAAACAATGTTTTTGTATATATTCAAGAATGTCTTAATGTCATTTATCAGATTTGTGTGTTGCTGCTTCTGGTTTGAACAAATGTCGCACTTTTTATCTGTGTTTTTCATGTCATTTGCTCGAGAAGCATGCCTTATTTCTTGTGACTCGGAACATCATTTTACTGGTATTTTTGTTTTCCTTCAGGGACGATTTTTCTGACCGATTCTAACAGCCTAATTTTATTGACTCCTAAAGTAATATTGGCCCTTTGATTGAGATTCTTATTTCATTTCTTGTCCATACGTGTGAATAATTTTTAATTTGATTTGCAATCTTCCGGTAAGGATGATCTATCAGGAGTTAAATGTAGGGCATGCAATGGTCCTCATTTTAGCAGGATTCTAGACGAGCACTGTACACAGGCTCAACTTGTGTAAAGTCTAGTGCAGCCTCTCATGATATTGATGAGGTAGCTCACTAGTACTAATGTATTGATAGATGAAGCTCAGCTCATGATTCTATTGAACAAGAAACTAGGGTTTCCATTCTGTATCCAGTTTCTTGTGTATGTTAATGAAGATGTCAACCACCAGGACCGTTCTTCTAGGTTTAAAAGAAAATCAATGGGAAATAGTGGGGTGGTCACCACTAAGGAATGGTGTCCCTGACAATACAAACCTGAGAGGCTGGTGCCAGAGGGCGGAGCCATGGAAAGTAGATGGCAAACACGAAATATTTCTTGCTTTGCGAGAGAGATGGTGCTGCTGTTACAATCCATGCCGTTTTTGCTAGAGGCCTCCTCTTTTTTCGCCATCTCTTCTTCGATTCCCACGAAAAGTCTTCACCTACCAAGATTCCAAGAGTGGTAGTTAAATTTAATGTAGCTAAGCACAGCACGCATGGTTGCGGCACTCAACTTCCATTGCGACCAAGGAATTCTTTCCAAGTTGTCCTGCTGTGCGCTACTACATGAATACGATACGTATAGTGGGCAACAACTTTCCATCTATATGATGTCGGCACTTCACTTTTCACTTTTCAGGTGCCTTGATTTCTCTATTATTTAACAGAGTGCTTGAAGCCACAGTATTCCACCTCGACAGCCAATCATTGGTCCCTACCAACCCTTTATTTATCTCTAATTGGGCAGTTCATGTATCGGAAAACCACGTCGGAAGGCAACATGCAAAGAACTATAATGGGTTTCCTCCAAGGATCACTATAGAAGACACAAACAGCTCTTCTAGGATTACTTTCCAGTGAAGAGAGAATATTGTCGTGCTTCGTATCATAGCTACCAATTACAAGAATTGAGGTCTGGATGTTTCTAATGATGAAGATTTCAGTTGTTAATTACCGAGTTTTGTATACTAAATGTTCAAAATTAGCTTCTTTTTTTAAGAAATAACGCATAGTGACATCATAACCATGGCCAGTGCCTCCAATTGCCCAATGCAAGATTTTCATGTATGTGCAAGTTGGGTCTCTGTGGGGAGAGATTATTAGGGCATAAACAGGCCTTTTCAAGTTAGTATTTCCTCACTGAGAAAATCGAAATTTTTCTTTGTTCTATTTTTGATACTAGAAAAGGGCGGCCAAATTCCATGAAGATCAACCTTGGCATGTGGGATAACAGAAAAAAACACTTCATATTGATAACCTTTTCATCGTGCCTGGGTTTCTTTTAGGCACCATTAGAAAAACAATTCAGCTGGAAAAGCAATGAACAATTTTACAATCATACACAATGAAAGAATCTAATATGGGCCAGATGCTGGTAATGCTTCATCATGCCTTGAATTCTGATGCAGTGGATCTGATTCTTGGTGTGAGTTCTGCCGAGATAGTTGATCTGCCCCTTGCTTACTGCGTTGTTGCTGAAGAAGCATGTTTTCGTCCTGATTATCAACTTCTGTGCTACTGGATGGTTTGGCACCGTTTGCTATGAGATTTTTAAACCAGGTTCCTTGAAATCTTGGGACACCTCTGTTTGAGTTTTCAGGGGACTCAAGACCAGACCCGTTATTGGAAGTAACACCCACAAGGAAACGATAAGCAACTTTGCTAGCAGATACTATCTCAGTCTTGGCTTGTCTAAACTGCAGGAAGCCAACCACATATTTTGGAATTAGTGAAATGTTAAAAACCATAAATATGTTTATTAAAACATCCACATCCATATCTAATTAATAATTCACATGCGGGCCATTCCTAAACTGGTGTCAATAGAAGATGAAAGGGCTGCTCATGAAAGCAGTATGAACCAAAGAAAGTATACTGGATTGTGTTAGGAGTAAACAGATTTACTGCATGAATGATATCTATAAGAGACTAGTTTCACATTCACATATTACCGAGGCAAAACAACCCTAAAAAATAACTTGAGGAAAAATAAACAGGAATCACACCAGGACAGTTGCAAAAGGATGGGATAGTGAAGAATAACAGACTACACCGAACCAGAATTACAAGTATTCGTCCATTACAAATTGTGTGGGTGGGTTGGGGTCATATTTCTACAACTCCAGTTAGTGCAATTGTGCTAATTACTTGAACTTGACAACGTTAAAATGACCCCAAGGGTAGAGATATGATCCAGGGAAGTAAGAAAAACAAAAACACAAGCATCTCACCCGGAAGGCTGTATTTCCAGCTACTTCCATGGCAGCATCACCAGCATTGGCAAAACGATTAACCCAACCTGTCAGACAAATCACAGTACCATCCACTTCAGGAAAATTGTAACAAGAACAAGAGTGTTGAGATCAGAACCTTCTTTCTTAATCCCCAAGAAAAGCTTATAATTCATATCCAACATTTACTTTATTATTGGCAAAGGAGCCACAATTTACAACTAAAGAAACAGGGCCAGCAGTAAAGTGAAATGGAGCAGCAATATGAAGAAACAGCAAAATAGATAATGTAACACAAGTAACTCCAGAAGAATTTTGGATAATGAAGCGATTTCACACAGATCTCGTTGGAGAAATTGGGGCGGGGATGGGAGAGGACAAAAATCTTGCCAGGTTTAAGGTCATTGTCAAACTCAAGAGGACATGTTTCAGCATAAAAAAATCACACACAAATATCTCCACATAGTGCAATATTTCTCAATCATAAATCATAGTCTACTGAGGAATTGTATTCAGAAAGAACACAATTTTCTAGTATAGAAGCAGTACAAACAAATCACACTCAACAGCTGGCCAATTAATCTTCAATCATGGAACAGGTTCAAGTTTCAGAAATTCTTTGGGGTAATCTGAAAAACAAAAACAGAAAAGAAAAGTTATCACCTGGAAGTTTTGGCACGCCAAGCCTTTCACAAAATTCATCACAGAAGTGATTACAGTTCTTGGCCAACAAGTCATAGTCACTTCCAGGCCATTCTCTACTAAGTTCCCGCAAGATCTGATTCACCTTAAAGATTGAACAACTGGTTTTTCCAAGTACAATTTTCTCACGATATGTATACATTGGATTCTTACTAGAAGGGCAACTAAAAACTCCAGTTCCTTGCTCACAAAACCCAAAAGACCATTCATCATCTCCATGTATCTGTCACCCATAAAACAAACGGATTTACTACCCTTAATTCATACATTCCAATTCAATATAACTTGATTTCAAGAGAGTAACAGAGACATGAAGACCATAAATAAATCCCAAAGAATCAGTAAAAGGTGTAATATGGTAGGAACATACAAGAGCTCGGTGTCAAGTTTTAAGACATGCATTCATTTGCCCGCATCTAGCCACGTTATTGCATACTTTAGTACTTAGAAACTAACTATAGATGACATATTAGGATTTATGATGACAGTTTTTCAACATGCTGCTTGCACAAGACATCCATCGACTCAGTCTGTACACAAGTTCAATTTTCCACAAATAAGTTCTCGCTAATGCTAGGAAAGTTTACTCAAAACTCAATCAACAAAACAAACCCTTTAAAATGCTAGGTCAAAAAACTACATAAATTGAAAGGGAACTGCAAAAAACAAATTACTCAAAAATGCCTCCTCTGCATATTCCATGTCAAAACAAATATCCTCCCCCTTACCTGTGTGATTACAATCTCTTCAATAAAGTTCTATGTTCAAAGCCAGCCCAGTTTATAGCACAGTTGAAAGTTCCGGTTCTTGAAAGACAAACCAAATCAAATATGTCTATCAAAACTAAAACCCTAGAACCACCATCAATTCGCCATGTCAATGATGGGACCCAGAAACAGTAATTATCCCTCTTAATCCACAATATAAATTCCAATACAGTTCAAAAAACGCATACTAATAAATTTTAATACGCGACGATTCAACTGAAACTGAAACCAAAACCCTAGATCTCACACTCCACTGAAAAAGGAAACATAAAATTAAACAATTAAAAATAAAACCCTAGATCTCTCTTTAATTCACACTAACTCCACCATAACTGCTGCAAATAAACAAATGAAAAACAGAAAGAAATGGACCTGAACGGCGCTGTGGAAGATGCCACCGAGACCAATAGCGTCTTTGAAGATCTTGTTGATGTTCAAAATTGTGTTGTTCGTCTTCTCCGATCCACTATTAGTCACATCATACACATGCAGTATCACCTCCGTCATCTCCTCCTTCTCCTTTAATCAGTTCAATCCAAAACAACAAACCCCAACCCTATTTCACCAAAATCACACACACAGATGAAGCTCTCTCTCTCTCTCTCTCTCTCTCTCTCTCGTGTGTGAGTGAAGAATTCGAGTTTCGGAGGACTGGAAGGTCTTTGTAATTTGGCCTCGAAATGCTAAAAACTTACTTTCTAGTTGAAGAAAGAAGGAAAGAAGAAGAAGAGTTCATTTCAGATTTGGAGTGCGGTAAAAGTTGTATTTAAAAATATATTAAAATAATATATTTTTTTATTTTTAAATTTTATTTTTAATATTAATATAACAAAAAAAATATAAAAAATAATTTTTAGTTTTAGTTTTAGTTTTAGTTTTAATTTTTTTTAAAAGTTTTAGTTTTAGTTTTAGTTTTAATTTTAATTTAAAAAACAAAAAACAAAAACAAAGCAACGGTTAAACCACAACCATAAACATATCCTTCACCGATGACCTGTGGTTAAGCATGGTTTTTCTTTTATTTTTTAATGGCATGAAACGTTTTGGGTTTTCAACTTTGTTCCCCAACTAAACTTTTGTTTCAATTTAGTCCTTTTGATGTTCATTTTATTTTA